TTTTAATATATTTGAATAATACCATAAGAAAACATATATACTATTATATGAGAGAAAATATAATAATATGCTAGCCGCATAATCTGCGCGGGCCACCATACTAGTTATGTTGGATGAGGGAGGGATTATCTGTAATCAGTGTCTTAAGGATATAGACTACGGTTGAACTAAATTATCAAATATCGTGATTCGAGGTCATCGTCACTTTTGAATCTTCTATGACCCTCCTTCGTGTATGGTTTACGATTTCAATTTTGGTGCATGTTTTATAATAAGCGGCATTAGAGTTTGTGGAAGATACATATATAGAGATGTGATGGAGGTGTCCCACACCGTGAAACTTCTGTTTTTTTACCCGGTCTAGCCATGAAGCTAGTTTACAGTTGTATTCTTGGACAGTCCTCGGAGATAGAAGGCCCATGCATGGCTCATGCTGGGACTAGGCCCATAACTACAAGCCCAATTGTTCAGAACCAAAGGAATAAGTTCACTTGAGGTCCCTCATTGTCGCCTAGTCTGATTTTCGTCCTTCCACCAAAAAACCAGATACAATCAGTCCCCCAACTAACAAAACCAGGGCAAACAAGGTCCCTCGACAGTTTAGATGATGGTCTTAGCTGACATGACGCTTCTGTAGCTAATTTGACTTGGTCCTTGTTCTACGTGGCGGCAATGTGGCACTGGAAGTAAAATATAAAAATTAAAAATTAAAAAACATGTGAGGCCTACATATCAGTCAGATAAAACATAAAAGAATTCATGGGACCCACATATTACCCTCCTCTCCTGTCAACGCCTCCTTCTCCACGGACGACGGCGACGACGCCTCCTTCTTCCCTCTCCTGCCCGGTCATCCTTCCTCCCTCCTCGAGCTCCCTCGTCTGCTGGCGAGCACACGTGGAGAGGGAGAAGGCCGGCGGGTGGCTTCACTGGCGCCGCTCAAAGGGAAACAAGGTCGCCGCTCCTCTTCCACCGTAATGAAGACCACCACCTGCAGGAGACGTGGGGGAAGCAGTTATGCAGAGGGAGGGAATGGTGATGTCGGCCTCCGAAAAGGGGAACTCAACGACGGCGGGAGGAGATCCGATGGCGACTGGACAAGACGCCACAGGAGGGGATCCAACGGTGACTGGCTCTCAGATCCATCATAGCCGGGAGGGGACCCAAATGCGCGTGGTTGCCGTGGGTTCGATGCTTAGCCTCCCCGCGGCGGTGAGGCGGGAGCGGAGGTCCCTAGAACTCCCCGTGGCGGTTGAGGTCAGTGACATTGTGACTGTCGCCTCGCTCCTTCCCGCTGGTCGTCGCCCTTCTCCCCGATGGTCGCCGCCCCTCTCTCCGTCGCCCATTGTGCCTCCAAGGCGGCCACACTCCTGGTGATCGGGCGGATCTAATGGGTGCAGGAGGAGAGTGGGGTGAGAGGGGAGGCGGCCGAGTCGTCATTGTCAGCGGCCTCCGTGACGGGGGCATGTGCTCGTGGCTTGGCGGAAGCTGAGGTGCAGTTCACGCAGCTGGCCTAGGAGCTGCAGGAGGAGTCGGCAAGGGCCCGTCGCGCGCGACGTAGTTGTCAAACCGGGTGACCTCTTCCGCATTTCCTCCGCACGGCGAGGATGGATGCGCTGGGACAAGGGGCGGGGGCGGTCGGTCCTCCTCCACGCAGAAGCGTTGGCGGCGCGGCGGGTCCTGTCGCCGGCGGCGGTGGAGCCGGAGCAAGGAGGCGGAGATCTGGAGGGAAGGAGAGTGGCCGCTCCACTCCTGCCGCCCACCGCATGCCCCTCCTCTCCCACCGCCCACTGAAACGCCACTCCTCTCCCCCCGTCCTCGCTGCAGTCCTCTCTCTTCCTCTTGCCGCCGCTGGCGTTCTTGGAGCCCGCAAGCCACAGGTGGCCGGCGGTCACCCGCTTCGACGCCGCCGTCGTGGGATGCTACCACCGCCGGAGCGCTAGAGGATGAAGGCGGGGATGGAGGATGGAGGCCTAGAAGAGAAAGAGAGGAGAAGAGGCTGAGGTGAGGTAGTGGGACCCACTAACACGTGGGTTCCACTATTTTTTTTGGTTGACGTATGGGTCCCGTATATTTTGTTAGTTTTTTTAGTTTTTATTTTTGTTCCATTTATTTTTTTACTCAAACTGCTACATAAGTGCCACGTCAATGTGATGCTAGAAGTCCATATACAAAGTTACAAACATGCAAAGCTAATTAAGTAAACTAGGAAGATGGCCCGCGTGTATGCGCGGGCACTTATATTATATTATTGAAAGGTAAGATTATTGTTTATTTAGAAATTTTGTCTCATAGATTCAGGGCAAACTTTAGCAAACTAAAGTTTGGATAATGTTATTTTATACTCCCTCCGTCCCCTAATATAAGGGATTTTGATATTTTGCTTACACTGTTTGACCACTCGTCTTATTCAAAAAAAAGTGTTCAATTATAAAAAACGAAAAGTTGTGCTTAAAGTACTTTGGATAATAAAGTAAGCCACAAATAAAATAAATAATAATTCCAAATTTTTTTAATAAGACGAATGGTCAAACAATACAAGCAAAATATCAAAATCCTTTATATTAGGTGACGGAGGGAGTAATAATTTAAGGGTTCTATTTTTCTTAAGGTATCTTAAAAAACCATTCACAACTTTTGAGTAGGAGATGGATTAAGTACTTACGACTTTTGAATCATGTTTTTTTTTCTCGACTAAATAAGAAACCATTGCTGGTTAATTATCATACAGTCCATCTATATATATATCGTACGTGTAGTATGGCTGCAAATGAAAAATGCGAGTGCAAGATACTCAAAATTCTTTTGATTAAATCGTCTCATGAAGGCGCATGATATAGTAATAAAGGGAGGGAAGCATATGCATGGGAAAAAAAGAAGAAAGAGAAAAATGAAAAAAAGGGAGGGGAAGCGTACGTACCCACGCACGTAGGTGCGTACCTATGCCGAGGTGGGACCTCGTAGTATTTAGTTTGTTCTAAGATCAATTTAATCTAACGGTTTATAATATTGGACCTACCGATTTAAGTGAAAATCAAGTAATAGATACTTTGATTTTTTTTCCTTAGAATTTCTAATATTTGCCCTAATTTATTAGAGCACCACGTGGCAGCTTGAGAGCATTTTAAGGAATTTTAAATGACTTAACACATGTAATTAGAATATTAACTGCGCAATATATATGTATGGGACATATGGTAATATTTGTTCCAACTTCGTCCATGTTTATATACACGTAGAGAGAAATTAATTTTGTGGCTAGCAATTAATTTTGACACCTTTAGATGTCTAATTAATAGAAATTAATTTTGACACCTATTTACAATTGTTCAGAGTAACTCTTACATATTTATCTTACAACTTTGATGATCCGTTGATCACCAATTTACTGATCACCATGACTTGCATGAAAAAAAATGTAGTACTTAAGGTTTAGGATGAAATTGATGAATTATATAATTTATGTGATAGCTATTTGAGGGTATAAACGAATGAATTGACTTCTAAAAAAATTAGAATGTTGTTTAAAGAAGACACCATTTAGAAACTTGGAAAGCGTGCAAACAAAAATCCAAAAATGGAATTGGGAAAAAAGAGAGGGCCTTAAACTCCCTTTATCACCCTTGTCGTAGTAAGAGTTCTATTGATATTCATCAATATTGCGCTCACATTTATAACATAATGATTCCTTTCACCTGTACGAACAAATAGTACGAAATCCAAATACGACATAACATAAATACATTATAATTATAATTATTATGTAATCAACTCTCGGTTTCAACTTAAACAGAGCTAATTAGTGTTGAGAAAAACACAACCCATAGTGCTTAATTATTCTCTCGCTGCATCACACATTTAATTTTCTTTTCATGTTATTAACAAAATTAATTATCTCCATATATGATTTGATATGTGGCAAAGCGGTAGCGCTACAGCGGTTGTGATCATCTTAGATGTCTCAGACACTACGCTTTGTCACACGTGCGAAAGGCAAAGGTGCAGGCGTGCATTGTGCAGCAGGCAAAAAGAGAATTTCAGACGCTTTATTTATTAGCAAACAATTGATCCGATGATTATAATAATAGGTCCACCAGTTATAGGGTAAGTGTAAATTAGTTAATATAGATTTTAAATTGTTAATTTAATGGGTACACAATATAATGGTGTAAACCTTATTTTGAAATAGTGCATTACTTGAGAATAATAGGCCAATGTAATAAAAAATAGATCCGATGATTTATATAATGGGGCCATCAGTTTAAGTGCACGTATAAATTAGTTAATATAGATATTATTAATTTGATAGGTACACGATATTATTGTGTAAATTTTATTTTAAAACAGTGCATTATTTGAAAATAATAGTGCAAAGTAAAGAGTACACCGGTTTAAGTTATGTGATGGTAGATTCTTTGTTTATAAAATCATGATTATTTAAAAAATATATCCATTATATATATATATATATATATATATATATATATATATATATATATATATATATATATGGTAAAAAGAAGAAAAAAGGAAAAAAAAAAGGAAGGAAGCGTACGTACTACCATGTAGGTACTTATATACTCCACCTGCCCATGCGCGGGAGGAGGATAGGTGGGGCTCATGGTATTTAGTTTGTTTTAAGATCGATTTTATCTAACGGTGTATAATATTGGACTCACTAATTTAAGTGAAAATCAAAGGATAGATGTTTTGCTTTTTCTTAGAATTTCTAGGATTTTCTCTATTTTATTAGAGCGCCACGTGGCGACTTGAGAGCGTTTGTAGGAAGTTTCATGGACTTTTAGTATATAATATAATATAATATAATATAATAGAAGATAGATAGATAGATAATAGATTTGATTACACTTGGACATATCTTCAAGTGATATTTTGTCAATTTGTTTCACATTTTTATTTAACTATTTAAATCACATCACCTAGGTGATAAAAATACCTCCTGCTTTCTTTCCTTTTCTTGAAATGTAAAATGGTTCCGATTTTGCTTGATAATTAATATCACAACAAGCTCAGAGTTACAAACGAACAAATTAAACGACAAATACTGCAACAAGCTCAGAGGTACAAATAAACAAATTAAATTACAAATACCGTGACAAGAAGTTCGGAGATTAAAACAAACGAACTTATTACAGAAATGAGTTAAGTTGAAATAACCGTACGCCGTAAAAAACTGTGAAAAGTAATCAAGAAATAGTAGGTGATCATCATCTTGCTAGCTCAGCTGCTGTTGACCACCCTGCAGTTCTTCCTGATCTGGCCGGCTGCTCCGGTGAGCGGGCATATCTTCCCCATCTTTATCATCGCCGCCACGAAGTCGCCGGCGAAGAGGTCCGGGTCGGTGCTGTACTTCTTCACCCGCTCGTCCTGCGAGCCGCCGTTGAAGAGCTCCTGGTCGGAGTGGAGCAGGCCGCGGCGGCCGACCAGGTCGCGGTAGTAGGCGTTGTCGAAGGCGAGCGCCGTCATGTCGTCGAGCGGCGCCAGGTTGGAGTCGCCGGAGCCGGACGCGGCGGGGCAGCGGCGGCGGCGCTCGGCGGCGAACAGCGGGTCGACGTTGGTGTCGTTGTAGATGTGGCCGCGGAAGAACTGGCACTGGGCGTAGCCGATGGTGTGCGCGCCGGAGAGCGCCGTCATGTCGCGCGGCGCCAGGCCCTTCTTGCCGAACGCCGCGACGAGGTCGGCGAGGCTGGACGACGGCCCCGGCAGGTCGCTGTCCGCCTCGCTCTTGCTCGCCGTCGTCGAGTCGCGCCGCCCCAGCGGCACCTCCCAGCTCGGCCCGCCGAGCTGCATTGCATTGCGTGTGCAGTGCAGAAATGTTGTTACGAAACCGGCCCCGAAATCACCATCGGTAACCAAACGCGGTAACCAAACACGTACATACCAGGTTGACGCCTTCGCGGGCGGCGAGGGCGAGGATGTCGGCGCAGGAGACGACGCCGGGGCAGGCGGCCTCGACGTTGGCCTTGATCTTGTCGATGACCTCGTAGCCGCGGATGGAGTTGGTGTTGGGCCCCGCGGTCTTCTCGCCGACGAACCCCTTCGACGGCACGTCGTCGAGAAGAATCGATGCATCGCAACCCTGATCAATCACAAGCAATGTGAGCTTGCATTGCTTCAAGATCTCCATAGATCATCCGCCCAATGAGCAGGAAGAAATGAAGCTTAGCTAGGATCATCTACCTGGACGAAGCAGTCGTGGAAGAAGAGGCGGAGGATGGAGGCGCCCATCCGGCGCTCGGCTTTGATGGCACTGAGCATGGTGCCGCGCACGATGGCCTCGAGTGTTGGGCACGACTTGCGGTAGTACGACGGTGTCATGGGCAGCGGCAGCGCGTCGTCGCCGGCGGCGGCGGAGGAAATCATCGGCAGGACGAGCGCAAGGAGAAGGCAAAAACGAGTCGTAGTAGACGAAGCTGCAGCCATGGCGATCACAAATTCACAATCAAACTGATCACTGTATACCTCTCCGATCACAGCTAGCTAGCTTAGCTTCTTCTTGCTTAGGACGACGACTGGTACGAGCTGAGGGATTCGTGGTACGTGCTTCGCTATTTATAGAGTGGATTAGTGGAGTACGTGTGCCTTGAGATATCTCTATGCATGCATCGATGATCATGCGAGATGATATGCTAGGATTAATTAGTGCTTTCTGCAGATTAATTACCTAGCTGGCTGCACGGCTCCCATGTGGAGATATCTGTAAGTTTATACGATAGCTTTCTCTAACTATGTTTGTTATTATTATACCGCCAGCTTAGCTCAAATATACCTGGACCCAGTATATACGTTGGTGCAACTGCTAGTAGGAGCAGTCGCTGACCGGCATTGGCACGGTTAATTAACGCCCTAACTTTGTTTGAAGTTTCTACAATTGAAGGGAGAAAAACGCCAACATAACCTCCCCTGTGAAAACGTATCTTCGCTTTTGATTTGTAGAAAAAACATAGCGGTTTCGAAGGATTTCAATTCTATAGAAAAATTTTCTATGAAGGCTTTCAAAACAAATGATTAAATCCTATCATATGTTTTACGATATCTATAACATAGGCAATCCAATGGAGATTTTAGAGAAAACATAGCAAGAGCCAGTGGCGGAACCAACACCAAATTTTAGCTATGGCGGATCAATATGATAGGACTACGTTTGTTTATAATTTTTTTTACACGAACTATACTGCAAATTGCACTCATTGAATATACGACACACTAAATAAAACGTTAACGACAATAGTCCTAAATTTGTAATGTAAATTTCACGAGTGAAATAATTTTCACAAGAGTGTGCGTCCATTTTACATATGTGCTCTGTTTATGGCCAGACCTTTGGATGGTCAGTCCAATCAATAATTCTGCTCAAGGAAAAAAGCAATAAACTAGTGGAAATTTACTAAAGCAGCATACTTATTTTTTACGGGTTGTGTTAGTCTTCTTTTCAGACATAAGGCAGTTCTACGAAATCCCTACATCCTGAATTAAACAAACTTTTATCAAATCAAATAACCAATTAATCAGCACATAAATCAACATGCTAATGGCCAAATGCATAAATACTCTTCAATCCTTGCATGGCATAGCTATGGCCAGTGCCACAGCATGCCACAAGAGAGGGTCCGCCACTGGCAAGAGCTTCAATCTCTTGAAAAATTTTCCTTGAGTTTATCTTTCTCATCCGATTCATGTGTTTTTTTTGGGGTCCAATCAAACGACCATTCCTGTGTTTTTCCGCGTTTTGCAATCATCTGATTTACACCTACGTTCCTATCAGAATGCTGTATTTTTCCGTTTTTCATTCGTGCGATTCAAAGGGCTACTTGATATAGGCACACAAAGATAGTATTTTAAAGTGTGGTCAGGCTTTTGACAGGTTGATCCAAGCACATTTGGCACAAAATAAGTGAAGTACAGGGACGATGTAGGTCGGTGGACCCATCTGTCGTAAACCCATACTAGTTCCTTAGTTTCTCACATATCATTCAAATAGTTAAATTCTAAAAAAAATAATAGATTAATATGTGATATATACTTCATACACATGTAAGTTTAAATACGACATATAAAATTTGATAAAAAAAACAAATTATTAGTGCATGTTCTTTATTGGATTATTCGATCTTTTGTTTCAACTTGTATATATCAATTTTGATTTTGTATATTTATGAAATGATATATCACATATTGATCTGTGTTATCAAATTGTTTCATAATTATTTAAATGCATTCGAGAATTTAGGGATATCCCCTCACAAGGGAAAAAATACTTTACCACTTGAGGGTATTTCTTAATTAGCCCTCTTGTATATTCAGAATTTTGATTTTTTTTCTTTAATGGATCAAAGAGAGGCAAACGTAGGGCTTAAGTTCGAATTGCCCTATGTTTGTAGGAACATATTCTAATCCCTAGAGAGAATATCCGTTCTCTTTTTTCTCTCAAGTTTAATTGCATGCTCAAGAAAAACAAGTTCAAACTTGACAACACATTGAGAAAAAAAATACTAGTATTATTTATATGTTGTCTTTATCTTTTTATTTTCTTAATGCGTGAGTTCAGTTTATGCCTATTCTATAGATTGTTACATTTTTGTTGTATGAATATTATTAAAGATTTAAAGATTTGTTCATAACTATCAGTATGATTTTTTCAACAAACAAGGAATCATCTGTTCGAGGGATTAAAATAGTTCACCTAATGTTTGCATCGTCTCTTGCCCCGATCCTTGCACGCTATAGTTGGATCATACGATCAGTACGTAGTGGTGTGCATGCATATTGATGCACGGCCGGCTAGTCAAGTAGTTGAACTTGGCAAAAGAAATTAGACCCATGGGAATGGTGTGCTTAAGTTAATAATTAGTGTGTCTTCTAGCTGGGATATATCACACCTCACTAGTCAACGACACGCACATGCAGAGCGAAGAGATTACGCAAGTACAATATGAACACCAACGAACTAGCCATACATTCTCCAAAGTTCTAGGTGATCATTGGCTAATATATATGCAATGCACACTTTAATATTTGAACGTGTGGTCCAATTCCTTGCTAACTGCAATATCAGAGAGATCGATGCAGTTGTGTTAATAGCTCCGCGAATCCTATATTTATTAATATTCCAAGTGTCCAACTGTCAGATACTCCCTCCATACTCGTAAAGGAAGTCGTTTAGGACAGCGACACGGTCTCCAAAACACAACTTTAACTTCTTGTTTCTATAAAAATATTTATTGAAAAGTGATATATGTATACTTTTATGAAAGTATTTTTCAAGACAAATATATTCATATAATTTTTACATTTTCAAACTCAACAACTTGAGAGTTATTCATGATTTATATTCCCAAGGTTTGACTTAAACATTGTCCTAAACGACTTCCTTTGTGAGTATGGAGGGAGTATTGTGGTACTCAAAGTTGAATTAAGAAGCTAGCGCGACTATATCTATATCTAAAACAACGTGTTTTCATGATAAAAAGATAAGTTTGTGTTATTCATAGGAACAAAGATAAACTTTCACTAGTTATTCGTAGGAATTAAGTTTGTGTTCTTAATATATACTTACTCTCTTTGTCATGAAATGCAAACATTTCTGAATTTCTGATGTTTAATTTAGGATTAAGGAGAGATGAGAAATTAAATGTGTTGGGTTTAGTCTCACATCGGTAATTGATGATGGGGGAGCACGACTTAAAATGTGGGAGCGGTCCTCACCCGTCAGACTAGTCTTTTGGGTTGTGTAGGCTCAGGACCTAAAGTTGTGGCTCCGGTTGGACTTGTGGTGGAGCAGGCCCAATGTGACCTGGGTGGCTCACAGTTGGTAGGTCGGGCTGCGCACTCTAACAAGTGGTATCAAAGCCCAAGGTTTGGAACCCGAAACAATTTCCATGGGTCACATACTCACATGGGTTGATGTGACGGGGGAGATTGTTGGGTTCTAACAAGTAGTATTAGAGCCCAAGGTTTGGAACCCTGAACAATTTCCTTGGGTCACATGCAGACCCACAAGCCCTAGGTTTGGAACCCGGAACAATTTCCATGGGTCACATGGAGTCTTCATCGGGTCACATGGGTTGATGTGACGGGAGAGATTGTTGGGTTTAGTCCCACATCGGTAATTTATGATGGGGGAGCACGACTCAAAAGGTGGGGGGCGGTTCTCACCCATCAGACTAGTCTTTTGGATTGTGTAGGTCTAGTTGTGGTTTCGGTTGGGCTTGTGGAGGAACAGGCCCAATGTGACTTGGGTGGCCCACCACTGGGCTGCGCACTCTAACAAAATGTGAAATGGTTGTAACTGGTTAATATTAGGGGTGAATCTAGAATTTTAAGGTTGTATATTCAAAATGTAGAGAAGTAGAAAGAAAAGTTACAGCCAAAAACCTAATAGTTGGCATGTATATTATCATATAGTAGTAATGATATTTATATAGCATAAAATCAAACTGTTATTCAAAATGTAGAGAAGTAGAAAGAAAAGTTACAGCCAAAAACCTAATAGTTGGCATGTATATTATCATATAGTAGTAATGATATTTATATAGCATAAATCAAACTGTTGGGTAAAGACCTGGCAGTACCTTCATTAAAAAAATGATATTTATATAGCATATATATTTAATTATGTGTTGAATATGATGACTTCTTGGTTTGAATATGACGTCCATTTTATTTGTTTTTCATACACATACGCATCACATACGATATATATCTATTTCTTTTATAAAAAATATTAGATATTCATTTTAATACTCTTGAATTATGCTGGGCTTGCCTTTGGTCAATATGAGTAACCACTACTACAGATTTGGTTTTTTTTTATGCGGCTAAAATCGACTTTTGCATGTGGATGGGCGGCCCACCTGTGCTCAAAGGTCTACGAAAATCGGATTTTCCCATATGGGCGCTTAAGCTGACCACATGAGAAAAGGAAAAAATCATGAAAAAATATATATAAATTCTGAAAATTGAAAACTACCCCACTACCCCGATACGCTAACCCTAGAATCCTCTCATTGTCAACGCCATCCTTGTCCTCGCCCTCCGGTTGGCGTCGGCGTGCTTGTCCTCCCATCACCGTCGCCGTCATCGTCGTCCTCATTGCGTCGCCGCCACCGACGGATCCGCGCGGAAGGGAGAGGGGCACCGGATCCGCGCGGGGAGGGCCGCCACCGGATCCGCGTGGGGGAGGGCCGTCGCCACTGGATCAGGGCTGGGGACGGCAGCCGGCCGCCGCTGGATCTGCGCTCGGCCACTCCTCCGTCAGCCTCTCGCTCCCTCTGCCAGACCCATGATGGGATAGCCGCCGTGGCCCTCACTCACCGAGAGTGAGGGGAGAGGGGAGAGGAGTGGGGAGAGGACTTAGTGACAGAGAGAGGAGGGCAGAAATAAAAAAGAGTGGCAAGAGAGAGGAGTATTTTCTCATGCAGGTCACTTCATGGATGTTGTTACTTACTTTGTGTTAGAATAAATGGGCTAGGCCCGATTTTTCTATTAAAATCTCAAGGGCCCATAATAAATGTTAAAGATAATAATACCACACTGGGAATTAAAAGTGGAGTATCTCAACTTAAATAGGGAGTTATTGGAGGCTCCCTGTTGACCGGTTGAGGTGGGGATCGGAAAGCCACAAGCGCGCGCGCGCGCCGAGCCGAGCCGGCCGGCCCGAGGGCGTGGGGAGGCCGAGGCGTTGCGTTGTGTCTGCATCTCTCTCTGTCTCTCTCTCGATCCTTTTGCAATGGACCGGAATCCAACCCCGCGAGATTGCCTCTGTAACGGGCAGGCAATTCAATACGCATTGATCGCGTCGTTACTGCGGCAACGGGCGGATTCCTCTCCTGCGCTATTAGGAAACAGAGACCCCCGATCAGATCTCTACGCTTTCTCTCCGATTGCTGGTTCTTCCTCCTTGCACCGCTTGTGCTGCTTCTGCTTCCCCGGTTCTGATCGCTTGCGCACATGAGAGATCGGAACGAGCAAGCCCTCCGAAACCACACCTCGCCTGAGATCTGCACCGGGTAGGCGGGTGATCAAGTTTTTGGGGAGTGCTTCCGCACGACTGCTCTTCTTCCTCTGTTCGTCGTCGGTTCATTTGCATCATGTCTTCTGGAGATGGCGCACCTGGAGCGGGAGCTGGCGCACCGGGAGCCGGAGCTGGTGCACCGATCGACAACACCAACGGAGGCAATTCTACCTCACAATCCAGGGATGGAATTTCATAGTGTATAACATTCTACCGCTATCTCTGTTTTTGTTACTTCTGTTAGTCGCAATGTTATTGCGTTCTCTACATGATGATGATGCTTATTTTATCTTAAGCATGCTCCTGGTTATGTTTAATTTTATCACTAGATCACCTCACATTATTCATGTCATGATTATTGTCTTAATATTTTGGATTAAAATATACCGATATATGACTATATTTCCAACACTTTGTGTATATGTTGTTACGTACTTACATTCCTGCCTACATCCAGAGCGCATGGGTATGAGGATGGGCCGAATCTACGTGGAAGTAACAACTAGGAATAAGTCTATTTCGCATCCTGCATCTCTTTACCCTGGTTAAATCGCATCCCTGAACCACAAAACTAGAATAACACCACCCACAATTTTAAAAACCGGTGGAAATTGACTCCTTGGATAGTTTCGAAAGATGTTTTGCTGACGTGGCAAATTGCCTTGGTCTAAGTGTCCCGACGTGGCAGCTCAGTCATCAAAGGAGTTGAAATAGAAGTGGGTCCGATTTGTAAGGTACAATGGTCAAAAAAATTAAAAAAAATATGGGATCCACTTGTCAGTCCTTCTATTTCTCTCGCATCACCCGTGATGACGAGCATGGGGTTGCGACCACGGGAGAGGATCTTGGCGATGCGGCGACAATTCTTCTCCCCCCGAGCCGGCAAGGTTCCCGGTGGGATAAGGGATAACAGCGTCGTCTGCGGCGGCGAAGCTGCAAAGGAAGAGAAGCGGCGGACAGCTACACATGGGTAGGCAGCCGAAGAGCGGCATGGGCAGAGAATGGCGAGCTTGATGTCCTCATTGCGGAATCCGACCTTGCCGAAGACTCGGCTGACATTAGGGTCATCGAGGACGAGCTGAGAGAGCTTATGCCAACCAGCTGCACGAGGCGGTGGCGCCAGGCCACCATGGCCAGGTGGTAGTAGATATTGTACACCTCGAATGCCGCCACTGTCCCACTCGCCGCTAGGAGGATCCAACATCGGCGACAGCGGGAGAAGGTCACAAAGCTATCCATTGCAGCGACTCGCCGAAGCTAGGGTTAAGGTTCGCCTATGTCCACCACATAGGTGGTGCTACCGAAATCATGCTCGGTGGTGGCAGAATTGAATGACACCTTGCGGAGGTGGCAGCGGTGACAGCGGTGGCTCAAGAGCCCTCAGTTGACATGGTGGTGGCTTGTGAGGTGAATGCAAGACGGGCAGATGTCGCCATCGATGCATGAGAGCACGGCGACAACGAGAGCGAGCGGTGGGTCGTTGTGCGCGACGAGGCACGGGACGTCATGCGACTAGGATCTCCCACCAGCCGCCCCGCCCAGCTCCACTCCCGCCGCTTGTTGCTTGCCTCCCACATCTGGGGAGAGAGGGGAGAAGGGAAAGGAGGTGCGCTGCACGCCGGCCAGCCTAGAGGAGTCGAGGAGATAGAGAGGAGGTCGCAAGGATCTGGCGGGTCGTTGCACTCTTCGAGTTCCCAACGCCGTGGATCGCCGACGTCGCTAGGCTGTTCGGCGTCAAGGCGACACAGTTCTCTGTTTCCCGCGTGTACATAATAGACCTCGCACGCCGCCTCCACGGCGAGCACCGGACCTTGGAGGACCTCGTGTCAGCGCCCATGGGGTTTCCTCCGTCGTTGCTGCTTGCCGCCGTGTGGAACGGACGACGTTGATTGGGAGGCGGAAGAGGGCGGCGATGGAGAGGACCAGCTGTGGAACGCCACCGCGAGCCCCTCTAGCCTGCTGCGTGTGCCTCGGCTGCAGCGGGATGTGGAACTTATTTGCCAACCCCGCCGATATCAACGGCCAACTTTGTCCAGTCCGCCACTGGTAAACCGGCATTGCGGGCCGGAATTGCTACTGGGCGAGCGATCGCCCAGGGCGATCGGATCCGGATCCCCCTTCCTCCACCTGGTTTTCTTTTTTTGACACCGTATTACTTTCCTATTTTAATAAATTTATGCACCTATAGTTCGTACACCTCAAGTTTACACATTTAAAGTTTAGAGACCCAAAGTTTATAAATCAAAAGATTATATATCCGATTCAAATTTGAATTTGAATTCAAATATTTTTTATATATAGTATTTCTATACATCTAAAGTTTATACACCTAAAGTTTATAGACCCAAAGTTTATAAGTCAAAAGTTAACATACCCGTTTCAAATTTGAATTTGAATTCAAATATTAATTTATAGACCCAAAGTTTATAAGTCAAAAGTTTACATACCCGTTCAAATTTGAATTTGAATTCAAATATTAGTTTATAGACCCAAAGTTTATAAGTCAAAAGTTTACATACCCGTTCAAATTTGAATTTGAATTCAAATATTAGTTTATAGACCCAAATTTTATAAGTCAAAAGTTTACATACCCATTCAAATTTGAATTTGAATTCAAATATTAGTTTATAGACCCAAAGTTTATAAGTCAAAAATTTACATACTCATTTCAAATTTGAATTTGAATTCAATTTTTTTTATATATAGTATTTGTATTTCTATACATAAATTTTTTCAACTTTGTTTTTTTATTTTTTAAAATTGTATGGTGTACTGTAGTATGAAGAGAAGAAAGAGAGGAGAAAGGGGGAGAGAAGGGAGCATACAGGGGGAGCAGGTGGGCCTGTGATCGCCGCCCATTAGCCGTCCCCCTTCTATATTCAACTCCTTTAATGATTGGGCTACCACGTGAAAACACTTAGACCAAGTCGATCTGTCATTATGGAAAAACCGCTTTTGAAACCACCCAAAGAGTCAATTTGAACTGGTTTTTGAAATTGTGCAAGGTGTTATATCCGGTTTTGTGATTGAGGGATACGATTCAACGAAGCAAGAGAGGAGGGAGCAAAATAGACTTATTCCAATCAACTAACAAGCAATTTTGACGTCCTAACATCTGGACGAGCTAGGCCCGGTTTCGGACCTCAGATGGCCTCACAGGCCTTACAGACAAAGCCCACAAGATCACCTTGTAAGACAGCCTGGTTTATGGGCCACCGTGTAGTCATCTCTGGGTAAAAATGGACAATTGTGTTCTTATTTCTGTTCTTTAACTTCAGCTACGATTTTACCTTTTGTTTTAACTTTGTGATTTTGTAATACTTCAGTTAAGATTGTATCCCTATTTTTTGAAGTTTTTGATTTTGTCATTTTTAACTGAAGTTTGTATGTGCTCTTGTTAACATGATTTAACGGTGTTCGTCCCTACTTTTCCGAGGACATTATGATTTTGCTCCTTTTTTTTTTACATTAAGCTTCATTTTATAAATGTTGCCCCTATTTTAATACGAATTTCCACTTGTTTAGTAAAAAAAAAACTAAGGGATAGAGCAAACTCAAAATGAATTTTGACCCTACATAGTTAGTCATCTTAACGGAATGGGGTAAGCACAAGCTTCAGCTCAAATATAAGGACATGATCTTAAAGTTAAAATTAAGGATAAAATCGTAATTGGAGCAGGGGAAGCCACCGATATTATGCACATGTAAGTGAGCTTTCAATAGAAAATTAATGGGATTAGATATATGCCACTGGTTTCCTATATCTTTGAGCGTGTGTTAGGGATGTATTCATTAGTGTATGAATGTGGTGTTGTGTGCAGTGGTGTGTGTAAACATATTTGTATGTCGTTCAATTGTTAAAAAAAAGTAACAGGAGTAGAAAATAAGGGTAAGAATGCAAACAAGAAAGCTATTTTTTTTTGGATGGATCGACGACTTGAACATGTGTGCTAGATTGTACTACCTCTGTTTTCTAGTAGATGACGTCGTTGATTTTTGAAACACGTTTGACCATATTGAAAACATTTATGTAACTATCTTTTACTTATTGCGAGTTGTTTTATCCCTTGAAGTACTTTAAGCATGATTTATGTATTATGCATTTACATAAAATATTTAAATAAGACGAATGATTAAACACATAACGACGTTATTTATTAAAAACGGAAGGAGTAAAACCACAAAGAGCATTGAGAGAAAATAGCAACGATGTTACCACGCTGCTTTATTGCATCACAGTATTTACAACAAAGATACGTCACCACAAATCCACATGAAAATATATACAGCCCATGGATGATCAGCTGTCGTTGACGACCCTGCAGTCGCACCTGACCTCGCCGTCGCTGGGCTGCCCGATGTTCCCCATCTTCACCATCGCCTTGGCGAAGTCGGCGGCGAACAGCGCCGGGTTGGCGGCGTACTGCCTCACCAGCGCGTCCTGCGACCCGCCGTTGAACAGCACCTGGTCGGAGTGGAGCAGGCCTCGCCGGACCAGCAGGTTGCCGTAGTAGGCGTTGTCGAACGCGTTCTGCGTCTGCACGTCGAGCGGCGCCAGGTTGGTGTCGCCGTTGGGTGCCGCGGCGGGGCACGCGCGGCGGCGCAGCGCGGCGAACGACGGGTCGATGTTGGCGTCGTTGTAGATGTGGGCGCGGAAGTTGGTGCACTGCGAGAAGCCGACGGTGTGCGAGCCCGACAGCGCCGTCATGTCGCGCGGGCTTAGGCCCTTGTTGCCGAACCGCGCGATGAGCATGGTGAGGTTGCTCCCCGGCCCCGGCAGGTCGCTGTTCGCTTCGCTGCGGCTCGCCGTCGTCGAGTCGCACCGGCCGAGCGGCACCGCCCAGCTCGGCCCGCCGAGCTGCATGGACAAGACGAATGTCGCTCACACACCAGCTCGCCACGCATGTCACGAGCACGCGTCGAACACTCGGGTGAACGTACCAGGGCGGTGCTGTCGCGCGCGGCGAGGGCGACGATGTCGGCGCAGGAGACAACGCCGGGGCAGACGTCCTCGACGTTGGCCTTGATCTGGTCGATGACCTCGTACCCGCGCACGGAGTTGTTGTTCGGGGCGGCGGTCTTCTCGCCGACGAACCCGGTCGCCGGCACGTCGTCCAGAAGGATGGACGCGTCGCAGCCCTGGACCAGTTTGCAGATCGATCATTAATACCATGATTAATCAATAATCATCCTTGCAAAGTTGCAAACGTTAGAACCCTAAGACATTATAACGTGGTGATTAACAAATTAATCCAGTTTACAAGATGATTAAACCTGGACGAAGCAGTCGTGGAAGAAGAGGCGGATGAGGGAGGCGCCCATCCGGCGCTCGGCCTGGATGGCGCTCGCCACGGTGGCGTGCACGACCTTCTCCACCGACGGGCAGCTATCTGCGTAGTACGACGTCGACAGCTGCCCGGAGGCGTCGTCGGAGAGGAGGAAGAAGACGAGCAACAACCAGCAATGCCAAGTCCTGGAAGCCATGGCACCGTACTCCGTACACACAGCTAGCTAGCTAGTGATATGATCTCGATCGCAATTAATCTTAATTACCTATGTGTGATTGACCAAGTGCTAATTCTTTCCTTAATGATCACTGGAACTCTAGCTCAGCTAAGATCAGTAGCTTCTTGCTCTTGTGATTGGCACGAGCTAAGAAGTTACACTTGTCTAGCTATTTATAGTGTGGCTGAGATCAGATCGCATGCACGCAAAAAAGGGGTAGCTTTCCATGACGCCGATGGGGGGTCACAAACTTGTGGAAAAAAATGGGCAAGTTCTACGACCTTTCTTCCTCCAGTTGACGAGAGCGACATAGGTGTATGTGCCAAATAAACTTATCGGCTATGTATCGCTCACACAACTTCACAAATCCAATGAAAGTTTACAACACATACATATTATCTGGAGGAAATTTCGTTCCTTGCATATATATCACCTTGTTTTTGCTCAATATATCATTCCATCCATCGTCTTGATTAAGCTTTGTTTCATCCTGGCATATACGGAGTATATCCATTAGGGTTTACTTGTGATATCCCTAACATACCTATTCAGTGAGTTGGTGCAGTGATTTTCTTTTTCTTGATCAAAATGTTAAATTTGAAAGTTTTTGAATCACAAAAAACTATGGTATTCTTATCTTGATCTTTTCAAAACAAATTAAATTTCAATCTGTCACAATTAAATCATATCGGAATTGAAGCAAATTTCAAATTGGAGAAAAGCACTGAGATTGATCACTTACAATATCAATTATTTCACCTTGTTTTTTAACACTGAAATTTTAATATTTGAGTGAACCCTTACGATGATTCGATGAGGGGGAGGGGGGGAATTGTCACTTATAGCCTACTATGAAACTTAGGCCCCGTATAGTTCCCAGAATTTGTTTTCCCAAAAACATCGTATCAAATCTTTGGACACATGCATGGAGCATTAAATATAGATAAAATGAAAAACTAATTGTATAGTTTGTATGTAAATCGCGAGACGAATCTTTTGAGCCTAATTAGTCTATGATTAGCCATAAGTGCTACAGTAACCCACATGTGCTAATGATGGATTAATTATGCTCTAAAAATTCGTCTCGCGGTTTCCAGGCAAGTTATGAAATTAGTTTTTTCATTCGTGTTCGAAAACCCCTTCCAACATCCGGTCAAACATCTGATGTGACACCCAAAAATTTTCATTTCACGAACTAAACAGGGCCTTAGCTAATAAGTGGCACGAAACCGGTGTAAATTACGAGCACCAAATTTTATTACCAACTACACAAAAAAGTTATTTGGATTGGCTTTGACCCGGTAAATTTACAGCTGCTCTCTGCCTATTCGAACAGAAAATAAATTGTGTACTTCTCATATATTTGTCACGATAAAAATCAGGCTTGGGCCATTAGGAGCTCGGTCTCAACCTCAGGCATGGAAAGGATTTTTGGCGCAGCTTCGCCACACTAGTACCTTCCCTCCACCATCGGGCCCTACGCGCATGCATTGGCTCCCCCACGTCCAGCCTCACTCTTGGCAAGACGGCAGGGAGCGCCCACATCATCATCCTCCATGATGAATTCTAGTCTTGTCCTTCCTTGTAGGCTTGGGCTTGCTGCCCCTACCTCGATCCTCTTCCTCTTCCCGTTGAGATTCAGATAATTCCCACTTCTTCCTAATCTCTACCCGATAAGGCGTGATGAGTTATTCTTTCCTTTGTTAGATTTGGACACTGGTAAGCTCCATACCGCTAGTTCGTGTTAGGCAAATCACACAAACTTTCGCTTTGAAAAGTTCGAGATTAAGCTTGTAGAATGTTTTGTGGTTTTTGAGCTAAAAGTCTGAGTTATAAAGTTGCACATATTACCACTGAAAGTTTCAGAATTATGGTTGTAAATTCCTGATTTTGAATAAAAAATTACGATATTATATCGAAATTTCGAACCACAAGTAGATAGTTTTTTTTTAAAAAAAAATTACTAGAAAGTTTCATTTGTTTTCTCAAAAGTTCTGTGTTTATATTGATAGTTTGAACCACAAGTAGAATATTTTTAAATTTTTAGTTGAAAGTTTCAGTTCATGGATAAATTTTTTTGTGATTTTGTATAATGTTAGTTTGAACCACAAGTAGAAAGTTTTTTAATTATTAATTGAAAGTTTCAGATTTTGAATTAAATGTTCTGTCATTTTATATTGAAAGTTTTGAATCACAAGTGGAAAGTTTTTAATTTTTTAGTTGAAATTTTCTGGTTTTGAATCAAAAGTTTGTGGTTTTATGTTGAAAGTTTGAAGCACAAGTAGAAAGTTTATTGAAATTTTAGGCTCAAAGTTGAAAGTTTTATAATTCGGGTTCTCTCCGGTTGCATGGAGAGTCAATTGCAGGACGAAAGGATCGAAAGGAGCAGCAGCTCTGATTCGGATAGGCACGTGCACAACTTTCTCTCCTAGCACACCTGCGCAATTGAGGAGCCCCCTCGAGGTAAGCTCTCTTTCTCTTCCACTGTACATTGCATGCTGCTACCGTTTCTATATCATTGCTCTACTACAATAAATATACCTTGTAGAGATATTTTCCCAATAATATATAGACATTTTTAAAATGTCTTTACAGTGCTATAGAGACATTTTGAAGAGTGTCTCATAAGTGCCTTTTGGTGAATTGTCTCTACAAACTAAGAGGCATTTTATAAGATGTCTATGCAAATAGAGGCACTTTGTAGAGGCATTAATACATTGCGGCAACTATAGCAAATCAATATGAAAAAAAAATATTGTTCCTTACCAATCCTTGAACTCATGACCTCTTGAGTTGACCATTTTTATCTTCAATGCACTAACCATCCCAACCTCATATAATTACACGTAAATATGTGATTTGTGTTACTTATATCTAGTTACTTAATATATATTAATATTTGGAAAAATGCCTTTACATCTTTTTAAATGCCTTAAAAAAATGCCTTTACATATGAGGCAAATTTTAAAGTGCCAAAAAGATGTCTCTACAAGATAAATTTAACAATGTATGCTAAAAATGTCTCTAAAGTGTCTCTAGAGTAAAAATATTTTAGGCTATTTTAAAAGTGCCTCTAAAAAATATCTCTAGACTATAGAGCTTCAAAACTTAGAGACATTTTGAAAATTATCTCTGCAAAACTTAGAATGGTAATATCGTGCTTGATACGCCTGCTCATATGTTTTTCTCCAAAAAAAAATTCTCAACTTAATTATGCTCGCTATTGGCATGGTGATTTAGCTTTGATATGCTAACAAATGCCCATTGTCATCATCAACAGTGCACCTTTCTGCCATTATTTGTCATATACTCCTATATTTCACTTTTGTTCTGTGTTTATCTGAACCAAATGAAAATCTGCCACCTTAGGACACATCCACATGGAAAGCAAACGGTCTTGTCTGCTTGCATGCAGTGAATTGGACTTGTGGACCTAAGATTGTGACAATTCGGCTTTGTTTGACCTCTCCGTTGGCTCCTTGGAGATCTAAAGAACTCAAGGGAGAATCAAACAAGCCAGCTATTACTACCTATTAGTCTTGCGACTCAAGGTAGTAATGATCACCTGTTTTGTAGGCAAGATATCCAGGGGTAGATATTTAGGGTTCCTTTGAAACACATAATTAAAATAGCGAGTAAAATAGATAATTGCAAAGCACAGAAAAAAAAACACAGGAATATGGTTGTTTGATTAGGCCGTAGGAAAAACATAGGAATTAAATGAGAGAGATATACTGAAAAGAAATTTTTCAAGAGATTGAATCTCTGGCTAACTTAAAAAACTCTATGGGTATGTTTGGAAAATAGGTTAGGAGAGGTGGAATTGGGAAATAGAAATGAATGGAGGGATATGATAAAATGAGGTGAGATGAATGAATGGCTAAGATTGAAACTTACCTATTGGAGAGTGGGAAATCATATCCCAAACCTATTTTCCAAACATTGTCTATAGGATTGTTCATATCATACGAATTTAAAAGGAAAAAAATATGATTCAATTCTCTATATCAAAGACCTTTACAGGAATTTTCCCTATCTAAAGTAGTGAAAATACTAAAGTTTTTCACTACCACAAAGCGTCACGTCATCAAAAATTTAGGGCTGTTGGATGCAGCAAGGAATTAAATTGGTGCCATTGGATCTGAAATAAACATGAGTGAAAAATCCCGGTCAACAGTAGAATCCTCCAGAGTTTTCACGTAGCCAACGGTCCATGGTCCACACAGCAGACGAAAGGTGGCGAAAAGGAGAAGCCCACATTCACGGTAGTGTATATATAGGAATCACTGAACAGGTGTAAAAAAAACCCATCTAATCCCAGAAGCCAGAACGCATCCATCCACATCCACTGCCTCCTCCCCCGTTGCGGCTAGCAGTTAAGTTCAGTTGCAATGTTCTTACTCTTTACGATTATAGATATTCATACCCTGTATAACCCTTACGATATTACGCACAGTTTGCATCAATGTACACCTACCTCTCAAACAGGTCATTATGGTCGCGCAACGTGCGACTTACGTGGCTAGTAAGATAGAAATCCCTTTAAATTTCCTATGATTTTCATACAAATCAATTAAGCCTTAGTATTAATTTAATAGGGCATTAGTACCTACTATATAGATTAATTTAACAGGGCAATTTTAATATTCTGAGATGCAAATCCTTCAAGGTAAAAACACAATGCAACTCATGACAATGAACGAGGTACTATTTTTATTTTCTTGGCTCACAAGTCTTAGGACACCGAAGTTTCATATCCTTTGCCTCAGGAGTACTCTGTGTCTATTATCATTGAGCATGATCAGTAGTGATGGTTGCGGTAATTGGGGCTCACTACTACAGATACGGTCAATGTAGATAGCCCTCATGGCCCATTACATAGGCAGTGGCAATGAACTCTGATTGGTCAAAACAAACCCTGTTTGAGGTTAGGCAGTAGACACGACCTGTCACAAATTAATGGAGGATCATTTATGATAGGTCGAATTTTCGAACCGACAGAAAACCCCATGGTGTCGGTTCCGAATGTATGCCCACCACAGATGACCCCTATCTGTGACAAGTTGTGTTGCACAATCCCCCTAAACCATAGCCAACAATGCAGGAAGCAGATACAACTGTAGCATGGTTGCAGCCAACATCTACCTATTAGGGCTATTATACAATCACAATCTAAAGTTGAGTAGGTGAGAGAATACTAAAAGGAAAAAAAATAGCAGCACTTTGGCCTTAGTCCTATCTAATGCGTCACACTCATGTCTAGGGTTTAAGGAGAAGATGTGAGTAGGGAAATTGGCAAAGGCAAGTGGTTTGGGTTGTGTAATATGCAGTGATCGAGTCACCCTTTTGTGTAACATTCCAAAGGACAATATTGTCATTCAGTAAGCACACCCTCTCTCCTTCATTCAAAGAAAATAAGTAATATAATAATATGTAAGAAGTACCAATGTAAATGAGCATAGAAAAAATAAAAATCAATGTTCCTTGGCAAAAAAAAAAGTGTGAAGCAAAATTACTGCTTTGAATGGTTCCCGAGTGTTATGATTTACTTATTGGCAATCATTCGGATTCTATAGTTCGGCATTGCCAAGCACAACACAAACAATATGCCCTGATACATGTGTTATCTCTCTCTTTGTTTTTTTTTTGTCATTGTTGTCAGTGGACCTCCGTTAGCATATAAGAAAAGACTATTTTGCCCCTAAGATATCACACAAGCAGTTAAGCAAATGTATTGCGCTAAGCATAGTGAGATTCAGTTCCATTCTTTCACTAGCATCAAAATAATAGTATATTTAATTGCATTATTGAGAGGACTCTACGCGTCGGAAGCCTTATGCCCCCTACATCCCGGCAAGCGTGCATGCCCACCAAACTCTTGGGAGAGCATGCATGTTGTTTCCGTTGCTTGCTACTCCATCATGTTCGACTGTACACCCATCCATCTCTCGCTATACTTTTAGTAAAACTTTTTATTATTTTTTTCTAAATTACTTATTTAATTTACAATTCGATCGTACCACCGTTGTTGTAACTAAATTTTTTTAAAAAGATCCAAAATAATTATGTTTCTTTGATAAGAAAATATATTATTATTTTCCTAACTAAAATATTTATATATTGCACATGCATCATTGAGTTGTAACTATTGGAACATCATGAAAACTTGCTGGAACATCAAAAGAATACCAGTATACCACATGCAATATTTTCAAATGAATTAGTAAAACATCCAAATAGCACCATATGCAACATTTAAAAAAAAATCATAGCAACATAATAGCTTACAATGTGCAAAAGAGTTAAAAACATTGAGTTGTAACTATTGAAACAACACAAAATCTAGTTGAAACATCATAAGAATACCATATGCAATATTTTCAAATGAATTAGTGAAACATTAGAAATACTTAGTGAAACATCCAAATACCATACGCAACATTTTAAAAAATTCATAGAAACACAATAACTTATATTATGCAAAAGAGTTAAATTTCAGTGGTACTACTAATAAGAGGGTAGCGCGTTGATTAGCCGATCGCGCGCCTCATCCCGATCTGGCCGACCTCCCTCCCACCTCTCGATTCCCACGCCCTCCCCTAGTAATTGTTTTACTAGCAATTTCATATCTTATTATATATACCGTCCTATTTTTTCTGAGGAGTTAAATTCCTACTTTTACGGATGTAGTGAAACCATCTCGTCAAGCGGCAAATGGGGCCGAAACAGCCGCCACCGTCCTCGCCGGCGCCGCTCGGACGGATGAAGCGTTCCTCATCGTGCCTCCCTTGCTCGGCCGACATAGCCTTCCTCCAACGCTGTTGCCGACGGAGCTAGGGTTGGGAAGGAGAGCGGCCGGCAGTGGAGGGCAGGTTGAGGTCGTTGTCGCTGCCGGATTTGGTAAGTGTGGCCGGTGGCCGGTAGCGGAGGCGACTTCGGCTCCATCCATACCAACTGCCCCGTTGTTCATCGTCGCCGATGACCCTGATCTGTGCAACCATAGGCCTCCGCTGCTTGGACATCGGCTGATCTGCGCAACCCCAACCCTCCACCAACGGGGCCCAGGCGGTTATAGTCCTCACCTAGAGGGAGGTGACCTCCGTCGACGTGATGGTCGACGTCACAACCGTGGATTCACATTAGGCCGATGAGGACGCCCTCTGCCATAACAGTGTGCCCTACCAATAAAAGAATAAGTAAAATAGTTACGAACAATTGATGGTAAATCAATTGTTGAATGGATTTTGGAGAAGAATTTGAGATAATTAAATTACTAAATGGATTCTAGCGAGAATGCAAAGTAAAAGTACATCTTTTACTTGATAGTAATATACTACTTTGCAAAGATATCATATAGTAATTCTTTTACTCTGGTACAACTGTAGAAAAACGAAAGCAAAGTAAAAGTAAATCTTTTACTTGATAGTAATATACTACTTTGCAAATATATCCTATAGTAATTCTTTTACTCCCGATACGATTGTAGAAAAAACGAAAGGGATAAACTCCGCTCAGGGAAGGAGTGGGAACCAGAGGTTGGGCTAGTTGAAATTGAAAACGGAAAAAAAGAAGGGGGTGGATTGGGAACCGGAGGCGGAGGCGAGGGAAACTGAAAAAGGGGAAAAAAGGAAAACATGGTGAAGATCGCTACGTCAGGCACTTGAATTAACAAACAACGCACTGCGCATGTATTAGCGCTACCGTAAATTTCAGTTGAAACATTCTTTTTCTCACGTGCGAAACATCGAAACTCAATGGTTGAAACATATATTTTCATCCAAATATAATCATGTGTGATATTTTATTATAAAGATTTAATTATAACGAATATAGCAGTGTAATCAGATAGTTGATCCGATAAATAATTTTTAGGAAACCGTTTAAGTATTGTCCATAGACCTTCTGCACGTAACATGTAACATCTCATGCATGTACTGGCTACTAGGTGGTAAACAATTCAGATCCTCAGTACTGCAGACTGACATGTAGACCTAAGGGTCTGTGGGGCCTACATGTCAGTGAGCAGTACTGCATATGTAGTACTGCAGAGGACCCTCACTCAGTGGTAAATGGGAATGAAGGGCAGAGAGACGTTTGGATTGTTCAAAAAAAAATTATGATTGATGTGACCCAAGCCCATCATATGGAGTGTACCGTAGTGTCCGATATGTTTCTGGGCATCTGACTCTCGAGGCCAAGCATTCTCGTCATTATTTGCAAACACTCTTTAACTTTAAGGTTATGTAATGCATGCACTCTGACTAAAATTAAAGAGCTAACCGAGGTTATCTAGTAACAACAATAATAAAACGTGGGAGAAAGAGAAGTTGTGTAATAGAGTGTTTTCAATGGTAAATAGTAGAATAATCACAATAACAACAACAATAAACAAAGTTTATGCTTCTCTGCTGCCATGAAAATAGTGTTTGCAATGGTAAAAAGTAGAATAATCACAATAATATTGTATATACGGAGAACTTGTGTTCATCAATGGTAAGTAGTAGAATAATCACAATATTTTTATGGCAGCAGAGAAGCATAAACTTTTTTTATTGTTTGTAGAAATTCTTGCACATCCAGATATAGTTTCACAACTTAGAGTGAGTTCGAGGAGAAAGGGATTAAGAAGATTAGGAAGATACGTAAAACGAGATAAGCCATTAGCACATAATTAATTAAGTATTAACTATTTTAATTTTCAAAAATGGATTAATATGATTTTTTAAAGCAACTTTCCTATAGAAAATTTTTGTCAAAAATGCACCGTTTAGTAGTTTGGGAAGCGTGCGTGCGGAATACGATGGGCTTTCTCACCCAATCCCCCAGGAACGAACGCACCTTTAGTGTAGCACATGATAAACAGATGTTCCCATTTATAATGACCTTGCTTGGTTGATCCATCACTTTTCAACCCAAGGTCATATGTGTACTTTCCATAGCTTACTTATTCATCCATGTATATCATGTGTATATATGGGTTGGTCACCTTTGTAACCAACATCAAAGCTGCGAATCACCATGAACATATTAATTAAGCATGTTTAATGCCTTAATTAATTACACTTATATAAGCAATAATCCATCAGCTGCTGTTGACGGCCCTGCAGCTGCGCCTGATCTGGCCGGCGGCTCCGGTGAGCGGTTTGATGTTCCCCATCTTTATCATGGCGGCGGCGAAGTCGGCGGCGAACAGCGCCGGGTTGGAGCTGTACTGCTGCACCAGCGCGTCCTGCGAGCCGCCGTTGAAGAGCTCCTGGTCGGAGTGGAGCAGGCCGCGCTGGGCGAGCAGGTTGCGGTAGTAGGCGTTGTCGAACACGTTCTGCGTCTGCGCGTCGAGCGGCGCCAGGCTGGAGTCGCCGGAGCCCGGCGCGGCGGGGCAGCCGCGGCGGCGGAGCGCGGCGAACGCCGGGTCGATGTTGGTGTCGTTGTAGACGCGGTCGCGGAAGTTGGCGCACTGCGAGAAGCCGATGGTGTGCGCGCCGGAGAGCGCCGTCATGTCGCGCGGGCTCAGGCCCTTGTTGCCGAACCCCGCGATGAGCGTGGCGAGGTCGCTCGACGGCGCCGGCAGGTCGCTGTTCGCCGCGCTGAGGCTCGCCGTCGTCGAGTCCCGCCGCCCCAGCGGCACCGCCCAGCTTGGCCCGCCGAGCTGCACGTACGCGCGTCGCCGTCAGAATCTATGGAATCAATTCGAACATTGTGTGTGTCGGTGGGCGGCGCGTACCAGGGCGGTGCTGTCGCGGGCGGCGAGGGCGACGATGTCGGCGCAGGAGACGACGCCGGGGCAGAGGAGCTCGACGTTGCGCTTGATCTGGTCGATGACGTCGTAGCCGCGGACGGAGTTGACGTTGGGGAACGCCGTCTTCTCGCCGACGAAGCTCGTCGCCGGCACGTCGTCGAGGAGGATGGAGGCGTCGCAGCCCTGGACGAAGCAGTCGTGGAAGAAGAGCCTGACGAGGGACGCGCCCATCCGCCGCTCGGCGAGGAGCGCGCCGAGCACGGTGGCGCGCACCACCACCTGCAGCGTCGGGCAGCTCGCCGCGTAGAACGTCGTCGACAGCTGCTGCCCGTAGGCGGCGCCGGCGGCGGACGAGAGGAGGAAGAAGGCCAGCAAGCAGCAATGCCAGCTACTCCTCGAAGCCATGGTAATCTCACAAATCTTAATTAATTAATTATCTATGAGTAACTAAGTGTTCTTGCTTAATCACTTGAGCTCTAGCTAAGCTTAGCTAAGCTGAGTTAGCTCAGTAGCTTAGCTTACTTGATGTGTGGCTGGCACGAGCTGAGAAGTAACAAATGTGTTGCTATTTATAGTGTGGCTGAGGTTGCATTTGCATGCATGCAAAAGGGGTACCTTTCGATGACGAAAATGGGGGGTCAAAGTTAGGCCGCTACACAAGTGGAAAAAACACTCGAGAAGTTCAAAGACCTTTCTCCTCCTGTTGACAAATGCAACACTCATATATATGCAGCCAAATATGCTTATCGTTTATGTATCGCTCAGAAAAAATGCCCAATGGATTGAATGGAACAAAAAAAATTGTTTAGATAACACACATGTTGTTGGCATTACTATTTGGAGACGTGCGCAATAGACCATGAGTACAGTTCAAAATTTACAGGGGATCAGAGAAAATTATATAGTCCCTCTATTTGTTTTTGGAATGAGATTAGTTGGTTAAAAATAAACTAATCATTATCATATATTTTGGAATGTACCTCCAGATAGTAAGTATCTCAAATTACAACAAACTTTAATGTGCCTTGAGATATTTTCTCAAGGACTGCAAAACTTTTCTCTTGGAATGAAGGTAGTACTACACATGGATACACTAGCTTAGTAGCTTCTGATAAAAATTTTATTATATTCACACATTTATCTTTGGTCTCTATCTACATGATGTATATATATGCATGTGGTTTGCATAATAGGAAAAATGCAAGGATAACTTCACGAATATGTGACGAGACCACCACTAGGACTTCAATAAACCCCTAAGCATGGACACCAAGGTTTGTAATTGGTTCTCTACCAAGTTGTATGTGTTTCCCCCAAAATACATTCATATGCATTAATTTATGCAATTCATAAAGTTCAAGCGTGGATTGTGTTCACCGGTAAAAATCGTAATCAACCAGCTAATTTGAATTAAGCTTCGTGTCTCATTCTTAGGTTTTATCTCGGCAAATCGTGGTTTTTAAAGTTATCTTTTCCTGTGATCACGTTCATGCATGTTGTGATCACGTATACCGATCGTATATAAATTCGCTTAAGAGATGTGAGAAACGGATTGATGCCATTAAATAGCCGTGATGAGCACGTAGGCGAGACATGACAGGATCATATATATCCAATGTGAATAAAAGAATAATATTCAAAACAGATTGACAGAATTTAAGATGGTTCGATCGGTAGCTTGGAATTAAACTACATTTGCTGTGGATCGATGAATATAGGAGGCAAGGGGCTGTCGATCATGCAAATTGGACATATTAATTTTGGTATTTTCACAGGCGCTATCTTACGTGGTCCGCGTGCGAAATTGTATCTTCGCAGACGGACTGTCATCGCCCTCCCCCTCCTCCTCCCCCTTGCCATTTTTTAGCCGGTCCTTTGGCTTCGAGAGTTCTACCCGCCTAGAAAAATATTTTGCCATCGTCTAGAAAATAGTCTTTCTAGTAGTGGTGGATGTGCCCATCGTAATTTTGGTATTTGAGATATGCCCATCAGACCACATATGAGATACGAGCTAACGTAATTAACCTTAACTGGTCAGGGTCAGGGTCACCACCATTTGTCGTCGGAGTTGGAGCATAACCAAAGTAGATACGACTCGAAATCTACATAATTTAATTAGGCTTCAATTTTCTATCAAACGAAGGCTGTGTTTAGTTAGATCCAAAGTTTAGATTTGGTTGAAATTGGAGATGATGTGACTGAAAAGTTGTATGTATGACAGGTTGATGTGATGGAAAAGGACTGAAGTTTGGATCCAAACTTTGGATCTAAACACAGCCGAAGGTTAGCAATTCCGCAGAAGGAAACAACCTCTGTCAATATTTGGTTTTCCAGTTCTGACACCATTCAGCTGAGCAAGTATACAAAATTCAGAGAAAAAAAATTTCGATCGGGACTCGCAGCATTTTAGGGATGGACGGACGTACGAGCAGACACGAGCATGTGCCCGGCGACGACCACTTGACCACCCTAATTAATTAAACTGGAGTGCAGTTATACGGGCTTGATCGATCGACCAACGAAATACTTAGCTTCTGACGTGATTCAGGCTGGAAAGTAGCGGTGCTGATGGTGATCGATTTTGTGTTTGGTCGTTGACACTTTATTTATACAAAACATGCATGCATATATATATATATAGGGAAACTATATGTCAAATTGTCAATCGTTTCCTACTACGAGCACATGCATAACTCGCGCAATATGCGCAATAATTAATACTATCAAGCACTTGGTTCTTCAGACTTTTAGGCGTACTAATAACTGAACCTCAACTGAATTCTATACGCGCATAGTATTGAAGAGTGCCAAGTCCAACTGATCAGTGACACTCACACAGCCAGAGAAGCATACATGCACGCAGAAAGGGGAACTATTTTATTCCACGAGGCGATGTTACTTCGTTTGCTAAAAATAATCCAAACGATAATAAAAAATTCTGAAAAAAATTTGATAGGACTCATACAACATATATATACAACTTTATAAAATCTTAGATTTAAACTCAACTCACACGTCGAGATATAAAAAAGATAAATTTATATATAAACAGTAGCGCACGATTCACATATTAATTTGTCTTTTTTTATTTCTCAATGTGTTGGTCAAATTTGAATTTGTTGATTTTTAGTAGATCGATATAAATTACTCCCTCCGTCCCATAATCCCTTATATTATGTCCCTATATTATGGGACAGAGGGAGTATTTTTTATTTTTTTTGGAATTTATTACTACTCACTACTACAGAAACACACATAGAAGTCGACACTATAGGTGCCGGAAGTGTTAAAACCGACACATATAGACCTTTTCCCACCTCCGCGGTCCGAAAACATAAAAAACCAACATATTTAAGTGATTATAGGTGCCGGTTCTGTATAAAAACCAACACCAGTACTATAAGTGTCGGTTTTTAAAAAAACCTGACATCCATAAAACCGAACTGAGCCGCACGGGGGAGGGAGAGATATTTCTAGCCGTTCTTATCCACAGCCCACCCACACACCGCACTCTCTCTCTCTCCACCTTCTCCTCCTCTTTTCTTCTCTTCACCGCACTTTCTCTCTATCTCTCTCCACCGCAGTTTCTTCTCTTCTCCTCTTCTCTTCACCTTCTCTTCTCTTTCTTCTCTCCCGGCGGCGGAGGCGGCGGCAGGAGGAGCAGTGGCCGCTCGGAGGCGCCCTCCCTCCGCCAGATTCGGTAGGAGGAAGGGCGGCGGCGGCCCAACAACGCCCTCCCCTCCGCTGTAGCGACGTGCGGCGGCGTCGGCGGCGTGCGGCGGGAGGTGCGGTGTCCACCCGGAGGCACCCTCCCTCTGCCAGATCCAGCGGGAGGAAGGACGGCGACGGCCTAACGGCACCCTCTCCTCCGCGGCAGTGGCGTGGGGCGGTGTTGGCGGCGTGTAGTGGGAGGAGCAGCGGCCGCCCGGAGGCGCCCTCCCTCCGCTAGATCCGGCGGAAGGAAGGGCAGCGGCGGCCCGGCAGCACCCTTCCCTCTGCGGCAGCGGCGTGCGGCGGCATCGGTGGCGGCGGCGGTGTATTTGTTGATCTAGATGTGATTTGTTGATATGTGATTTGTGATTTGTTGATCAAGATGAGAGCTAGATGTGTATTGTTTGATCTAGATGAGTTCATGGGTTTGAGATAATTTTGGGATCGGCTTGACAACCGATTTTTTTTGGCTCATGTGCACTTCAAAGGTGCCAGTTCTAAAACCAGCATTGATGACCGAAAGTCAACAGTACCGTCTCGGTGGTACCGGTTGGAAAAACTGATATCTAAGGTTAATTGGGTGGGGGCATATGCCGCTAGCTGCAAACGGTCGCTTGGGCCATTTAATTGCATGTCAGTTTCCGAGTCCGACGATGGTTGTCTGTTGCTCTGTAGAGAGGTAGCTCTCCTTCCAGCTGGATGCCATGTCGACTAGCTTTAGCCTCTCACCTTCGTATATACTAGGCATGTATTGCTCTTATTCCCAAATGTATTCCTTACGTTCCAAAATTAAACCAACGCTACTGCGCAGAGGCGGACAAACCGACTACTAGATGCAAGTGGCAAGCCACATCATTTTTTCTCCACGAAATACACGAGTATGATGTACTCCTAGAAGATTTAAACTCTAGACCTCATAGTCCACACACGGTCACACTATTAAGTACTCGTTGTTTAGAGTTAGGATATGCTATTCTTTTGAACATCACATCTCTGCAACTTAAAATGCTTATTTGCTCTAAACGATCTTAAATGAAAAGATCATCAATTAATTACAAAATTGTAGATCTGGTTGAGCTCTAAAACTTTGATGCAGAGCATGTTTTCATCAGGGATTGTTTAAAACATAGATCTGAGATGTTGTAACAAGTGAGCGGCTTAAGCTAGCGTGCGCATGTGAAAATCGATTTTTATATACCCCTTCGCATTTTCACATGAGACGGAGGGGAGGGGAGGGGAGGACCGCGCCGCCGTCGCTGCCTTCCCCCCTCGGCCAAATCTAGGAAGGAGAGGGAGGAGAAGGGTGAGCCACGCCTCCCTCTCCGGCTGGATATGGGAGTGAGAGGTACGGGAAGGGTGGGCCGCGTCGCCATTGTCGGTGCCCTCCCCCCTTTTCGGATCTGGGAGGAAGGGAGGGTGGGGAGGGGAGGGCTGCGCCACCGCCGCCCTTCCTCCCTCCAGCCGGAGCTGAGAAGGAGAGGGAGGGGAGGGCTGAGTCTAAGGGAGAGGGAGAGAAGAGAGGAGGAGAGGCGAAGTGACTTATGCTTGGATGATTCATGTTATCTGGTTCATAATACTGTTGAACCCGTTTTTGTAAGCAGACCTCATAAGGCTACGCCTGCAAAAGTCGATTTTTGCAAAGGTGGCCTTAGGAGGTCCGCAAGTAAAAATTAATTTTTGCATGTGCAGCCTTATGAGGTCCGCCTGTGATGATATATATTTTTTCGCAGATGGGCGGCTTAAGTCGTCCATCTGGAATATATATTTTCGCTGGTGAATGACCATCATTTCCCCATCCACGACAATGCAGGTGGCATTTTGATCCACCTGCATAGTGAAATGGGTGTCGT